CCTTTCCCCACCTTAACCTAAAAAAAAAAAAATAAAAAAAAAATCTACTCACCTCCACGCCCCTCCTACATCCTTCACCCCTCCCTACCCTTCACCTTCATCCCTATACACCTCCAGCCCTTCCTACACCTTCACCCCCCTCCCTACATCTTCACCCCTCCCCTACCCCTACCCCCCATCCCTACCTCAGCCCCCTCCCTACACCCCTCCTACATCCTTCACCCCTCTCCCCTACACCCCTCACCCCCATCCTATACACCTCCACGCCCCTTCCTACACCCCTTCACCTCCCCTCTCATCCTTCACCCCTCCCTCACATCCTTCACCCCTCTCCCTACACCCCTCACCCCATCCCCTATACACCTCCACCCCCCTCCCTACACCCTTCACCCCCATCCCTATACACCTCCCACACCCCTTTCCCCTACACCTTTCACCCCCCCTCCCCTACACCCCTCACCCCCATCCCTATACACCTCCACCCCACTCCCCTACACACCCCTTCACCCTCTCCCCTACACCCCTCCCCACCCCATCCCCTATACACCTCCCACACCCCTCCCCTACACCTTCCCCCCCCTCCCCTACACCCTTCCCACCCCCTCCCCACACCCCTCCCACCCCCCTCCCCTTCCTTACTCCAACACCCCTCACCCCCATCCTTATACACCTCCCACACCCCTCCCTACACCCCTCACCCCTCTCCCCACACCCCCCATCCCTATACACCCCTCCCCACCCCTTCCCACCCCCTTCCCTACACCCCTCCCCCTCCCACACCCCACCCCTCCCCCCCCCATCCCTTCACCCCCACACCCCCTCCCTACCCCTCCACCTTCCCTACCCCCCACACCCCCCTCCCTACACCCCTCAACCCCTTCCTACACCCCTCCCACCCCTCTCCCTACACCCCTTGCCCCATCTCTATACACCCCACACCCCTCCACACCCCTTCCTACACCCCCCACACCCCCTCCCCTACACCCCCCCCTCCACCCCTCCCACCCCCTTCCTACACCCCTCACCCTCTCCCTACACCCCTTGCCCCCATCCCTATTCACCCCTACACCCCCTTCCCCACCTGCACCCAAAGGAAATTAAAAGGGGCCGACACTCCTCAAAGCTCTGGTTGGTTATCATTAGAAGACAATAAACATCGCTCCAGGAAAATTGGAAATATTTTCCCAGAAGTCTGGGTAGATATTTTCCCCCACCGAATTCTTTTTGTTATATAAATTGTTCCACAGTGTTTTTATCTCTTCATATTTCTATACATGTCCACACAACCCATTACAATGACTCCCTGGAGCTCCTCGGGTGAGGGGCGAGATCCCGGTATGCTGGAAGCATCCCTCTCTGGATCACCTTACTGAGGCTCTCTAACAAGTAGCTCGGCGGTGTGGTGCCTCCAAGGGTTTCAATAAGTTTTGAGCCCAGTTCATTCAAGGACTTGAGAGCCTTGGTGCCCGAGGCTCCTAGAGTCTCGGATCCTCTTGGGTCAACGAGATACTGAGGGCGAAGGTTCTTGTCCTCTGGTCATCCCTAAAGCTTGTTGCTCCCTCCCCACCACGGTCATATGGGCTCTGTCCTTCAAGATAAAACAAAGAGTAAACCAGGAAAAACGATAGTAACAAGAACAAGGTAAACAAGGTGATAAACTGTTAATCACTATAAACAATGTAAGCAAGATAGACAATGTAAACAAGGTTATAAAGATAAACATCATAGACAAGGAAAACAATACACTAAATATACACAACGCAAGCAAAGCTGACCAACAGTGTTATAAGATTTATTCTCGGAGTAAAAGAGAGGGAAAGGGAAGGAGGGAGAGAGAGAGAGAGGGAGCGAATGAGGGGTGAGGGACGGAGAGAGGGGAGCGGAATGAGGGGACAGAGAGAGAGAGGGGTGAGGACAGAGAGAGAGAGAGAGAGAGAGAGGGGGGGTGAGGACAGAGAAGAGAGAGGGGTGAGGGACAGAGAGAAGAGAGAGAGAGGGGGTGAGGGACGGAAGAAGAGAGAGAGAGGGAGTGAGGACAGAGAGAAGAAGAAGAGCAAGGGGTGAGGACGGAGAAAAGGAAGCAGGGGTGAGGGACGGAGAGAAAACGAGGGGTGAGGGACGGAGAGAGAGCAAGGGGTGAGGGACGGAGAGAGGTAAGAGTGGTATCCGTGTCCAGCTGTAATCCTATTGGTGGGTCTAAATCTCTCTCCCCAGAACCCGACAATAGCCTTTGATATCACGGTACCTGGCGGCCACTGTTGAGTCTTATCACAGTACCTGGCGGCCACTGTTGAATCTTATCACAGTACCTGGCGGCCACTGTTGAGTCTTATCACGGTACCTGGCGGCCACTGTTGACATATCTGATTACCTGGCGGCCACTGTTGAGGAATCTTATCCTGATGCCTGGTGGCCACTGTTGAGTCTTATCACGGTACCTGGCGGCTTCCACTGTTGAATCTTATCACGGTGCCTGGCGGCCACTGTTGAGTCTTATCACGGTACCTGGTGGCCACTGATGAGTCTTATCCACGGTACCTGGCGGCCACTGTTGATCTTATCACGGTACCTGGCGGCCACTGTTGAGTCTTATCACGGTACCCTGGCGGCCACTGTTGAGCCTTATCACGGTACCTGGCGGCCTGTTGAGATCATTATCACGGTGTGGTGATCTTATCACGGTACCTGGCGGCCACTGTTGAGTCTTATCACGGTACCTGGCGGCCACTGTTGGAGTCTTATCACAAGTGGCCACAACAGTATTTATCATATCAACTATGGTTTTGTGTATATTAATAACAAACACCAGGTCCCCAGAGTCCTGAGGCTCCCTCACCCTGACAGCGCCTGTGGGGTGATAACCAAACACCAGGTCCCCCAGAGTCTGGGGCTCCCTCACCCTGACGGCGTCTGTGGGGTGATAACAAACCTAAGGTCCCCAGAGTCTGGGGGCTCCCTCACACTGACAGCCTCTGTGGGGTGATAACAAACACCAGGTCCCCAGGTCCTGCAGGGGCTCCCTCCTGACGGCGTCTGTGTGGTAATGTAAACACCAGGTCCCCCAGAGTCAGGGGCTCCCTCCACACGGCAGCGTCTGTGCAGGGGTGATAACTCTTCCAGGTCCCCAGAGTCTGGGGGCTCCCTCACCTGTTGGCGTCTGTGGGGTGATAACAAACACCAGGTCTCCAAGTCTGGGGCTCCCTCACCCTGACGGCGTCTGTGGGGTTGTCAGACCAACGAGTTCAACCCCAGGATGACTGGATCTCTTAAAGGGGGATGAGAGACAGCATCTTCTGTCCTCCTCCTCCTCCTCCTCCTCCTCCTCCTCTAATAACTCTGGCGCATTTGCATAATTAATTTAATCTCTGTATCAGGGAGTTGTTATCCGCGGCTCTGGGTTAAGTGTCCAGTGTTGGGTTACCGTAAAGTGTTGTAGTAACGCGGGGAAGAGTGTGTTCTATGGCCCTTGATCGTAGTGTTGTCTGTTAGACCAGCCCAGCGTCTTACCTGACTTTACCTGTGTGTGTGTAATAATAATAATAATAATAATAACAATAACAATAAACGGTTTATTAAAAAAGTTTGCAGACCGAAGGCTGAAAATATGTTCGACGTAAATGACTTATTACATACATTGGTGGTTTAACAAAAGCCTTCATTAGAAGGTGAAGGAACATACAGTGAACATACAGATTAATGTTTACACACGTACATCATAGCGGCTGAGGTGTTGAACAACAGAGCATGGTGTAATGTAACTCCCTCACAGATGTTGGCGTTATGAGGGCATCACGTGGGTACTAGTTCCTCACCAGATGGTGTATGAGGGGCCTGATGATGTAGTAATTCCCTCACAGATGGTGTTATGAGGGGCATCACGTGATGTAGTAATTCCCTCGCAGGTGTTATGAGGAACTTCACATGATGCTGTAGCAACTCATTCACTATGCGGTGTTGTGCATAATGGGGACACCACGTGGTCTGTTGCCACAGGACTTCACTCACTCAAGTGGTCTGAGGTGTGGTCCCAGGCGAATTATCACTGGGTACCTGGGACCTCACTGTATGAAGGTTAGCTTGGCTCAGACTCAACTGCCGAGTTGTTTTTCACTGACTTAAGCACTGTTCACCACTATTCAACACTGGTTCCATTCCTTTCCCAAGTGAAATAGTAACTTCTGGCGAGAACTTGTTGATATTCCGGTGGGGAGGAGGGTTCAGGGGAGGGAGTTGGTATGGACCAACATAACAGTTGACTTGGCTGCTGCTGAGCAGCGCCAGGTGCGTCTGACCCGTCTTGACCCGTCGGTGGTCAAGGATGAAGTGTGTGTGTGTGTGTGTGTGTGTGTGTGTGTGTGTGTTCATGCTTAACCTAACCTAACCAAACATATACCCTCAAGTACCATTAGGGTGGTTAATCATCAGGTGAAATAAGCTTGGGGACTAATCATCAGGGGAGTATAATAAACTATCAATATCTCAAGTGTGTTAGTGTTCTTACTAGTGTATTTTGGTTACATAGATGTACTGGTGAAAGACTAATGTTATGATGGTGATATGAGTGTGATAGTGACTTTACCAGGCTGGGATGGTGACGTGTGGTGGTGGTTTCTATGATTCACCCCCCACCCTCCTTACCCCCAGCACCCACCAGACGCGACTCTCACCCATATTACCCGTATTTTTCATTCTATTCCCGTCTCTTTGTGCGTCTCATTCATTCATCATTACTCTTTAAATTCTGTATTCATTTTCTTCCGTTCATTACCTCCATATTTCCTAAAGAATAACATTTACCTCAATGATATATGTCTCTGACGCGTTTGTTTACAGTTGGATAATTAATATTTGTTTTGTACGATAATCTTTGAAAAATGACGTTTGGATTTTTTTTTCGTGTATTTTCTTCGTCAGTATAATGTCTGTAGGTTATCACAACAGTACTTCCTCAGTGTAAACATCAAATTAAACCTCCATAAGTTACAAAGGACGTAACAGTGATGAAGATTAAGCCGTGAGTGAGTGAGTGTCTGTCAGTACAAGACGGGTGACCAGCTGTTGTCGTCACTGCTGTGTATAATTGAATCGTCTGGATTGTGGCCTTACTACAACATATAGCAAGTGTAATAAGGCAATGCTGTACTGTACTGCATTTATAATTAGGTTGTCGTGTGTGTGTGTGCGTGTGTGTGTGCGTGCGTGTGTGTGTGTGTGTTAGGTATGTGTGTGTGTGTGTGTGTGTGTTTACACACACAATATACAGAGCAATTGGAGCCCACGAGCCCCGGCCTCTGATGCTCGACTCAGTACCGAGGCGGCGGCAGTAAACCTCAGTTGGATGGTACACATAAAAATTTTGCTGAGGAACACAGAACCAACACGACCACGGCAGACCTACACGACCACGGCACACCTATACGACCACGGCACACCTATATGACCACGGTAGACCTACACGACCACGGCAGACCTACACGACCACGGCACACCTACACGACCACGGCACACCTACCATGAGCCACGGTAGACCTACACGACCACGGCAGACCTACACGACCACGGCACACCTACACACGACCACGGCAGACCTATACGACCACGGCAGACCTACACGACCACGGCAGACCTACACGACCACGGCAGACCTGCGACCACGGCACACCTATACGACCACGGCACCTGCGACCGGCACACCTGCGACCACGGCACACCTGCGACCACGGCACTATCTACACCACGGCAGGCCTACACGACCACGGCAGACCTACACGACCACGGCAGACCTACACGACCACGGCAGACCAGAGGAGGCAATCTAGTACACAAGTTATCCATGACGTTACTGTATGTGTTCTTATACCTGCAACTGATTGTGTTAATCTGGCATCAAATTTGTGACTGTCGCGAGGTGAATTAGATCATGTCGTGGGGATGGTTGGACAGGTGGAGTGTGGCGGGCAGACTTGTTGATTATATTAACTGGATGAGGTAGCTAGTGTGTATGTGGGGCTGTGCTTAACCTCTTGAGTACGATGTCTTAAACCCCTGAGTACGATGTCTTAAACCCCTGAGTACGATGTCTTAAACCCCTGAGTACGATGTCTTATACCTTTGAGTACGGTAACTTAACCCATCGAATATTATGGCTTAACCTCTTGTGTTAACTTAACCTAACCTAACCTGAGTGTAGTAGCAACATTTTGTATACATTTATTCATCAATGTATATCTAAAGACTCTAACCTAACCTAACCTAACCTAACCTAACCTAACCTAACCTAACCTATTAGTTATGTTAAATAGGATGGCGGGTGGGGTTAATCTTGACGTTATCCATGATATCTGTAGTTACTGAGCCGGACCTGCTGTGTGGTTTATCTTTCCAAGGAGGTGGTGTTGGGGAGGCCTGCTAGCTCCTGGCTCGTGACGTCCGCTATACACAAACTTCCTCGAGATTGTCTTTTGTTAATTAGTTGAGGCACTTAAATGTCTTATATTAATTAGCCGAGGAACTTACACGAGACGTAAATATATTAAGATATAGATTCTGGGGACTCATAAGTAAACTTAGTTGATAATATCGTAATTGTGGGTAAAGTCGACGGTGAGGGCGACCACTGATAAATTTTCCTCCACGTAATTTTTCACAGTTAATCTGACGGAGGAAGTTGTGTAAAGATCTAAACTTAACGAACGACAACTGTGAATAAACAAGATAAGTTCTCGTTAACACAAGTTGGGAAGATGATGATGAGGTGCCAAGTTACGCACATGTTACTTGGGGAGGGTTAAGTGATAGTTACAATATTGAGGTAGAGTTGCGTGTCTTAGAAGGTCACCCCCAAAACACTAGAAATTCTCTCTGCTACACAGTAAACTTGAGGGAGTGAAAGTGGGTCCTATAAGCCTACAGTGTGACTACAGTGAATCCTAAGGAGGCAAAGTGACCGGCAGTACATTTGCCCATCTTCATTTCCCCTTCACACCTGGTTGACCTTAGGTGACCTCGATTTAGTTGAAAGTAATGTAGAATGTTGGTCCCTTTGTCCCTAACCAGCTACTGTTAACCCTGGAGCTCCTCATCCCTGGAGCTACTCGACCCTGGAGCTACTCGCCCCTGGAGCTCCTCACCCCTGGAGCTCCTCGCCCCTGGAGCTACTCACCCCTGGAGCTACTCGACCCTGGAGCTACTCACCCCTGGAGCTACTCACCCCTGGAGTTCCTCGACGCTGGAGCTACTCACCCCTGGAGTTCCTCGACGCTGGAGTTCCTCGACCCTGGAGTTCCTCGACCCTGGAGTTCCTCGACCCTGGAGCTCCTCGCCCCTGGAGCTCCTCACCCCTGGAGCTCCTCACCCCTGGAGCTCCTCACCCATGGAGCTCCTCACCCATGGGTTCTCGACTGGGACATGAGCCACCGGGTTCCTCGGCCTGCTGGGTTCACCAGCCCGCAGGCTCCTCATGCAAACCCTGCACCGGGGCTCCTCACCCCTGGAGCTCCTCACCCATGGAGCTCCTCACCCATGGAGCTCCTCGCCCCTGGAGCTCCTCACCCCTGGAGCTCCTCACCCCTGGAGCTCCTCACCCCTGGAGCTCCTCGCCCCTGGAGCTCCTCGCCCCTGGAGCTCCTCACCCCTGGAGCTCCTCACCCCTGGAGCTCCTCACCCCTGGAGCTCCTCGCCCCTGGAGCTCCTCACCCCTGGAGCTCCTCACCCCTGGAGCTCCTCACCCCTGGAGCTCCTCACCCCTGGAGCTCCTCACCCCTGGAGCTCCTCGACCCTGGAGCTCCTCACCCCTGGAGCTCCTCACCCCTGGAGCTCCTCACCCATGGAGCTCCTCGCCCCTGGAGCTCCTCACCCCTGGAGCTCCTCACCCCTGGAGCTCCTCACCCCTGGAGCTCCTCACCCCTGGAGCTCCTCGACCCTGGAGCTCCTCACCCCTGGAGCTCCTCACCGCTGATAGTGAAGCAACTGTTCCTAGTGTAACCATGAATGTTGTGTCCGCCTCCAGTAAGGCCACATTAATAAGACCCTGGGACAGACACAGGTAACTTTTACCTGACAAAGTTGAAGTAAAAGAGTGTTATATCGCTCACTGGCGGAGACTTATACAAGTATTGGAAGCTCGCCAGTCTCCCAACTGTCGGAAAAAAAAGGTGATTAATAACTATGAAGTAATTATGAACCAATTAGTGTCTCTCGTTATTGGTAAACTTATGGAGGAAGCCTTGAGAGACGAACTTGTGAAGACTCTCAGGAGATTGTGATCCTGCTGAAGACTCTTAGGTTAGGTTAGGTTAGGTTAGGTTACGATACGTTACGTTAAATTTGGTTAGGTGAGGTTACAATATGTTAGAGTTGGGGTAGGTTTGATGAGGCTAGAATTCGGGTGGTTGATCGTAAGGTGAAATAAGCTGGGGCCTAATTTTCAAATGATCAGAAAAAGTTAACTAGACTTTACTAAGGGAATGACATAGAGATCACTTTTAGCACCTAGACTGTTCCTCTCTTATTAATGATATATTACGTGAGCTCATATACGGCGAGAAAGTAACAGGTCACGTCAGGCTGGTGGGAACCTTGACGCCTTAACCCCGTATTGTTCCACCACCACAACAGGTTATTCCCACCACGGCTGAATACTGCACCCTGTTGGTCCTAATCACGAGCCGCCATTTGCACCGTCCAGCCTCTTTGAACAAATGTGATTATATTACTGTATTATAATTCCAAGTACTATTACTACTACTGCTACTGCTGCTGCTACTGATGATGATGATGATGATGATGATGAATTGAATTGAAACAGTTTATTTGGTCAGAAAAACACAGATACAGGGTGGATAATAATAATATTAACATGACTGAGCCAGTTGAGAACCTGAGCTCTCTTTTTGGCACCTGATATATACTATACATTTATCTCAAGGAAGTAATATGTAACATTTAGTATCATCTGAAATAGTACAATAGCATGGTGGTAATAAGAACATCTCATAATGTTACCACGTTTATCACTTCAATATTTATTTAGCTTATTTATTTATTTATTTTAAGAGGAAGGTAGACAGTGTTGACCCAGGAAGGTGCTGTGCTGGTCTCAACATGTTGGCGACGTATATACAGTACTCAGTAAAGGTTGTGAGGTCATTTATCACAGTGATGGAGGAGCTAACATCAGTTTATTAAGCCGCCTCGTGTTGATACTGATACCACGACCCAACACTTTCATCCGGGAGCTTTTTCGTGTCCCGGTGATGTAGTGTTGGTGCTGAACCTGGCGTGTGTCGTGGTGCTGAACCTGGCGTCTGATGGTGCTGGTGGCGTAGTGTCTGATGGTGCTGAACCTGGCGTGTGTCTGGTGGTGCTGAACCTGGCGTGTGTCTGGTGGTGCTGAACTTACCGCGTGTCTGGTAGTGGCATGAACTGACGTGTCCTGCAATTGATTTTCGGGCCTGGCGTGTGTCTGATGGTGCTGAACCTGGCATTGTGTCTGATGGTGCTGAACTTCCTGCGCGTGTGTCTGATGGTGCTGAACCTGACGTGTGTGTAGAGCAATTGCTGAACCTGGCGTGTGTCTGATGGTGCTGAACCTGGCGTGTGTCTGATGGTGCGAGCCTGGGTGTGTGTCTGGCGGTGCCGGGGCCTGGCGTGTGTCTGGTGGTGCCGAACTGGCGTGTGTCTGGTGCTGGAACCTGACGTGTGTCTGATAGTGCTGAACCTGGCGCGTGTGTCTGGTGGTGCTGGACGTGTCTGATGGTGCGGGTGGTGTGTGTCTGGTGGTGCTGAACCTGGCGTGTGTCTGATGGTGCTGAACCTGGCGCGTGTGTCTGGTGGTGCTGAACCTGGCGTGTGTCTGGTGGTGCTGAACCTGGCGTGTGTGTGAACTGGCGTATCCGGTGCGAACCTGGCGCGTGTCTGGTGGTGCTGAACTGGCGTGTGTCTGGTGGTGCTGAACCTGGTGTGTGTCTGGCGGTGCTGAACCTGGCGTGTGTCTGGCAGTGCTGAACCTGGCGTGTGTCTGGTGGTGCTGAACCTGGCGTGTGTCTGGTGGTGCTGAACCTGGTGTGTCTGGTGGTGCTGAACCTGGCGTGTGTCTGATGGTGCTGAACCTGGCGTGTGTCTGATGGTGCTGAACCTGGCGTGTGTCTGATGGTGCTGGTGCTGGCGTGTGTCTGGTGCTGGAACTGGCGTGTGTCTGATGGTGCTGAACCTGGCGTGTGTGTCTGGTGGTGCTGAACCTGCGTGTGTCTGATGGTGCGGTGGCGTGTGTGTCTGGTGGTGCTGCTGGGGCGTGTCTGGTGGTGCTGAACGGCATGTGGTGGTGCGGTGTGTGATGCTGGTGGTGCTGAACCTGGTGTGTGTGCGGTGGTGCTGAACCTGGCGTGTCGTTGGTGCGCTGAACCTGGCGTGTGTCTGGTGGTGCTAGACGGCGCGTATGTCTGGTGGTGCTGAACCTGGCGTGCTGTCTGATGGTGCTGGGCACGGCGTGCGTACCAGCGGTGCTGGGCCTGGCGTGGTAGTGCTGAACCTGGTGTGTGTCTGGTGGTGCTGAACCTGGCGTGTGTCTGATGGTGCTGAACCTGGCGTGTGTCTGGTGTGGTGCTGAACCTGGCGTGTGTCTGATGGTGCTGAACTGGCGTGTGTCTGGTGGTGCTGAACCTGGCGTGTGTCGGCGGTGCTGGAACTGGCGTGTGTGTCTGGCGGTGCTGAACCTGGCGTGTGTCTGGTGGTGCTGAACCTGGCGTGTGTCTGATGGTGCTGGGCTGGCGTGTGTCTGGTGGTGCTGAACCTGGCGTGTGTCTGGCGGTGCTGAACCTGGCGTGTGTCTGGCGGTGCGCAAGACCTGGCGTGTCTGGCGGTGCTGAACCTGGCGCGTGGTGTCTGGTAGTGCTGAACCTGGTGTGTCTGGTGGTGCTGAACCTGGCGTGTGTCTGGTGGTGCTGAACCTGGCGTGTGTCTGGCAGTGCTGGGCCTGGCGTGTGTCTGGCGTTGCACAGACCTGTGCGGTGGTGCGCCAGACCTGGCGTGTGTCTGGTGGTGCTGAACCTGGCGCGTGTGTCTGGTGTGCTGGGCTGTGTGTCACCGGTGCCGAACCTGGCGTGTGTCTGGCGGTGCTGCTGTAGACTGGCGTGTGTCTGGCGGTGCTGGGCTGGCGTTGGTGCTGTGAACCTGGTGTGTGTCTGATGGTGCGTTGCAGCGTGTGTCTGATGGTGCTGAACCTGGCGTGTGTCTGGCGGTGCTGAACCTGGCGTGTGTCTGTGGTGCTGAACCTGGCGCGTGTGTCTGATGGTGCTGAACTGGCGTGTGTGTCTGGTGGTGCGCTGGAGCCTGGCATGTGTCTGGCGGTGCTGAACCTGGCGTGTGTGTCTGGCGGTGCTGGGCCTGGCGTGTGTCTGGCGGTGCTGAACCTGGCGTGTGTCTGGTGGTGCTGAACCTGGTGTGTCTGGTGGTGCTGAACCTGGCGTGTGTCTGTGTGGTGCTGAACCTGGCGTGTGTCTGATGGTGCTGAACCTGGTGTGTCTGATGGTGCCAGACACAGCGTGGTGTCTGGTGGTGCTGAACCTGGCGTGTGTCTGATGGTGCTGAACCTGGCGTGTGTCTGGCGGTGCTGAACCTGACGTGTCTGGTGGTGCGCTGAACCTGGCGTGTGTCTGATGGTGCTGAACCTGACGTGTGTGTCTGGTGGTTGCTGAACCTGGCGTGTGTCTGATGGTGCTGAACCTGGTGTGTATGCAGTGGTGCTGAACCTGGCGTGTGTCTGGTGGTGCTGAACCTGGCGTGTGTCTGATGGTGCTGAACCTGGCGCGTGTGTCTGGCGGTGCTGAACCTGGCGTGTCTGAGTGGTGCTGAACCTGGCGTGTGTCTGATGGTGCTGAACCTGGCGTGTGTCTGGCAGTGCTGAACCTGGCGTGTGTCTGGTGGTGCTGAACCTGGCATGTGTCTGGCGGTGCTGAACCTGACGTGTGTCTGGCTGGTGCTGAACCTGGCGTGTGTCTGGTGGTGCTGAGCCTGGTGTGTGTCTGGTGGTGCTGAACCTGGCGTGCTGTCTGGTGGTGCTGAACCTGGCGTGTGTCTGATGGTGCTGTGAACCTGACGTGTGTGCTGGTGGTGCTTCAGACCTGGCGTGTGTCTGATGGTGCTTTGAACCTGGCGTGTGTCTGATGGTGCTAGACCTGGCGTGTGTCTGGTGGTGCTGAACCTGGCGTGTGTCTGGCGGTGCTGAACCTGGCGTGTGTCTGGTGGTGCTGAACCTGGCGTGTGTCTGATGGTGCTGAACCTGGCGTGTGTCTGGTGGTGCTGAACCTGGCGTGTGTCTGGCGGTGCTGAACCTGGCGTGTGTCTGGTGGTGCTGAACTGGCGTGTTCTCTGGTAGTGCTATGAACCTGACGTGCGTCTGATGGTGCTGTGAACCTGGCGTGTGTCACCAGTGGTGCTGAACCTGGCGTGTGTCTGGTGATGCTGAACCTGGCGTGTGGCTCTGGTGGTGCTGAACCTGGCGTGTGTCTGGTGGTGCTGCGAACCTGGCGTGTGTCTGGCGGTGCTGAACCTGGCGTGTGTCTGGTGGTGCTGAACCTGGTGTGTGTCTGATGGTGCCTGGTGTGTCTGGTGGTGCTGAACCTGGCGTGTGTCTGATGGTGCTGGAAGCCTGGCGTGTGTCTGATGGTGCTGAACCTGGCATGTGTCTGATGGTGCAGACCTGGCGTGTGTCTGATGGTGCTGAACCTGGCGTGTGTCTGATGGTGCTGGAGCCTGGCGTGTGTCTGATGGTGCTGAACTGGCGTGTGTCTGATGGTGCTGAACCTGGCGTGTGTCTGTGGTGCTGAACCTGGCGTGTGTCTGGTGGTGCTGAACCTGGCGTGCTCTGATGGTGCTGAACCTGTGTGTGTCTGAGGTGGTGCTGAACCTGGCGTGTGTCTGGTGGTGCTAGAAGCCTGACTGATGTGTCTGATGGTGCTGAACCTGGTGTGTGTCTGATGGTGCGC